CTTTCTCTCTGGTAATCACCATACAGTTTTCTGTGTCTATGAGTTGTTTTTGTTTTTGTTTTACTTAATCCCTTTACCTTTTTCACCCACCCCCCAACTCCCTTCCCCTCTGACAGCTGTCAGTCTTTTTTCTCTATGAGTCTGTTTCTATTTTGTGTGTTGGTTGTTTGTTCATTAGATTCTACATATGAGTGAAATCGTATGGCATTTGTCTTTTTCTGGCTATTACCCTTAGCAAATATTCTCCAGGTCCATCCATGCTATCGCAAAAGGTAAGGTTTCCTTTTTTTTTTTTTTACAGCCATGTAGTATAGCATTGTGCAAATATACCACAGCTTTTTTATCCACTCATGTACTGATGGACTCTTGGACTACCTCCAAATCTTGGCTATTGTAAATAACATTGCAGTGAACATAGGGATGCATATATTCTTTCGAATTAGTGTTTCAGGTTTTTTCAGATCTGTCCCCAGAAGTGGAATTGCTGGGTCATAAGACAGTTTCATTTATAATTTCTTGAGGTATCTCCATACTACTTTTCACAGTGACTGCACCAATCTGCACTCCCAGCAGCAGCGTACGAGGATTCCCTTTTTTCCACATTCTCGCCAACTAACACCTGTTAGTTGATTTATTGGTGATAGCCAGTCTGACAAGCATAAGGTGATATTTCATTGTGATTTTAATTTGCATTTCTCTGATGATTAGTGACATTAAGTGTCTTTTCATATGCCAATATGTCTATTGGCCATCTATATGTCCTCTTTGGAGAAGTGTCTGTTTAGGTCCTTAGCCCATTTTTTAATTGGATTGTTTGGGGTTTTTTGGTGTTGAGTTTTATAAGTTCTTTACAGATTTTGGATATGAACCTCTTATCAGTTGTATCATTGGCAAATGTTTCCACCCATTCAGTGGGTTATTTTTTCACTTTGTTGATGGTTCATTTGTTTATTTTTTCTTTTGTTTGCCTTGCCCAAGGAGATACCTCAGGAAAAAATATTGCTATGTGACCTGTCTGAGATTTTTCTATCTGTATTTTCTTCTAGGATCTTTATAGTTTAGAGTCTAAGTTAACTTTAATCCATCCTGAGTTTATTCTTGTGTATGGTGTAAGAAGGTGGTCTAGTTTGATTTTCTCCTGGATGTATGTGTCCAATTTTTCCAACACCATTTATTGAAGGGACTCTCTTTATCCTATTGCATATTTTCCTCCTTTCTCAAATATTAATTGACCATAAAGGGGTTGGTTGATTTCTGAGCTCTTTATTCTGGTCCGTTGATCCGTGTGTCTGTTTTTATGTTAGTACCAGGCTGTTTTGATTACTCTGGCCTTGCAGTATAGTTTGATATTAGGTAGCATGATTCCTCCAACTTTATTCTTTTTTCTCAAGCTTGCTGTGGTTATTTGGGGTCTTTTGTGGTTTCATATAAATGTTTGGAATATTTGTTGTAGTTCTGTGAAATATGCCATTGGTATCTTGATAGGAATTGCATTGAATCTATAGATTGCTTTGGGTAGTTTGGACATTTCAATGATGTTAATTCTTCCTATCCATGAAAATGGTATGTGTGTCCACTTATTTGTATTTTCTTCAGTCTCTTTCTTTAGTGTCTTATAATTTTCTGAATACAGGTCTTTACATTGTTGGTTAAATTTATTCCTAGGTATTTTTTTAGGCAATTGTGAATGGGATTGTTTTCTTAGTTTCCCTTTCTGATAGTTCCTTATTAAAACTGCATATAAAATTGCAATTAAAATTGCATATAGTTCCTTATTAAAATTGGTATATAAAATTGCAACCAATTTCTGAATATTTATTTTGTATCATGCTACTTTACTGAATTTATTAATTAATTCTAGTAGTTTTTTTGGTGGAATCTTTAGGGTTCTCTTTATACAGTATCATGGCGTCTGCAAATAATGACAGTTTTACTTCTTTTTAATTTGGATGCCTTTTATTTCTTCTTATCTGATTGCTATGGCTAGGATTTCCAGTACTATGTTGAATAAGAATGGTAAAAGCAGACATCCTTGTCTTGTTTCCAATTTTGAGGGAAACACTTGTAGTTTCTGCCCACTAAGTACTATGGTGGCTGTAGGTTTTTTCATTTTAGGCCTTTATTACATTGAGGTATGGTCCCTCTTCCCCTTTCTTCCTATCTTTGAGTGTTCCAGTTCTTGAAGCCAACTTCCAGAACATTCTTGGGCTTATAATTCCACTTTCATCTTAATCATCTCTGCTGAACAGCCATAGTGTACTATTAATCCCAAATTTATAAAAACCATTATTTTCGACCTCATACATTCACAGGAGTTTGTTATTTTTGAAACTACACAAGCATTCTTTTTGCTATCTTCTTCTGCAGAGGGCTTGTCTTAAGCCAGTGATGTAACCTTGCATTCCTGTCCGTGGGTCCCATTGTTAGGGAAGATTCTGTCAGTGAAGTAGAAGCTGACTCTACTTCTCGGAGGAATATCAGAAGAATGTCAGATGAGACACAGCTCATTCTCCATCATGATCTATAAGGCACACTGATCTGATCACCTCTAGTGGGTTATTTCTGTCACTAGCATAATTCATGTGTAGGTGGCGGTTGCATGAAGACATATGTGGCCTTGTCTTTTTTTCTTCATATGCCCTGCATTTCATCTCTTAGACTGGGATTGCTTGCTAAATAGCAGAGACATTGGTAGGCAGATCTGGATGAGTAACCTAAGTCTGTTACATGCAGGTATCTAACCACACCGGGCTAGCTTGTGGTGTTGAGGAGAAAGCAGTTGGAAAGCATGGGGGGAGGTGGCTCATTTTTTAAAAAAGAAAGACGTGAGGTTTATTATGCATGCCCTTGGCCCATAGGCTTTCTTACGGTCACCAAGGCAAAGTTGCATCTCCCGGAATTCTACTTGAACTCCTCCTTCCTTAACATCAGTGTTGTTTTTAAGGTTATTTGAAATAGCTGACTCTCTTAAAGTTTGTATTTTCTATTCATCTTATTGTAACTTTATTCTTTAAAAAATATTGAGGGCATTTCTTACTTTTTGTTGTTTGTTTTTTAGGGGATGAGGGTAGATTATAGCAGCTTTTGATCAAGGTTGTAGCTTTTTTGTGCTCATTTTTACCCAGCATTCTCTGAGGAATTTTAAGAGCCTCACCAATGAGATAAAATATCCATGACTGAGAGAACAAGAAGTGTGACTGAAGGGTTGTTTGCCTCTATAAGTTACTGCAATAGCAGTTTTCCTGAATCCCTTTGGCAAATAATAGTTAAATACTCACCTGCAAGTAGTTCTCTGATGGTGGTGGAAAGCCCTGCCCTCTGCAGTGTAAACATAGTAAGTCTTTCTGGCTCTCTGCATATATATTATCATTATTTTCTCGAGATAAAATAGAGCAAAATGATGAGTACCATTGCCCACATTAACTCTGTCAAGAAGAAAGAAGCAGCATATGGTTTCAGTGTCTCTCCAGTCTCATATTATTGTTAGATTAGTTTCCTGAAAACTTAATGTTAGATGGAGTGTAATTGCAGATTTCCTTAAGAACCATCAACAGATACTTATCCTAAGTTATAAACAACTCATACTGTGAATGTATGCAAACATTCTAAGTTTTCTTGCAGAAAAATATCGTTCAGTGAAACCCCATATTCATCAGTCTTTTTTAATGAACAAAGCTCAAAGGAGAAGTTGGGGGAACTTTCTTTTGTTGCTACTTGATTTTTAAAAGAAATTAATGTTGTTGGAATTATTATTGGTTTTCAGAGTGAAATAAGTCTTTAATAAGTATCATCCTAGAAGCCATACAACCTTTGGCTAAGGGGGCTGCGTTTTTAACAAGATAGTAAAAAAAAAAAATAGTGAATTATGGTGTATTTAAGTATTGGCAGTATATGTTGAAGAGGGTTTTGGTGGTGTTTTTTTTTAATTGTTAGGTGGTCTATTGAGTGCAGCTGTGTTTATGTTTCCTGCACGGGAATTGCCTGAGCGTAATGGCAAGTCCCTACATATGAGACTAGGGCTTGCTTTTTCAAAAGTCTTCATGCCAATGTGCTTTAATATGGAAGGTTATATTTATCAAGTAGCAATGGCAAAAATAATTCTGGGCATAATCATTCAATACAGCTGGATTGCTACATCAGACATTCTGACAACCTGGTAAAAATAAGCAATTGATACTTTAAATGTTACATTTCACAGTGGAGTAAACGTGGAAATGGTAGAATATTTTAAAATAGTCACTTTTTTTACCCCATGTTTTGTCTGACTTAACTTCTTGGTTATTAAAAATGCATGCTTACATCATAAATATAACTAAATGTAGATTAATCCTGTAGAAATTAGGAGTCCCATATTTTTGCTGTATTTCTCTTTAAAAATATGAATATGGGGTCATGGCTGCAACATAGAAGAGACAGTTGCCTGTGACAGAAGAAATGCATATAGTAAGTTAGTAGCTGTGTGAATTGATCAGTAATTTCAGAATAATATGCAATATGTGAAATGTTTAGGTGCAAGGACTTAATAACTAGTTTTTGGAAGCATTTCTTGAGTATTATATCCCTCATAACTCAAATTAATGTTTATTACTACTCTTTCATATTGCCAAAATATTATCATAAATTTGGATTAGAAGCAGCTTGTTCTGGCTTGTTTTTGCAACTTTGTTTCAAGAAACAAAGTGATATTTAGAAGCTTTTTGTATGTCTTAGAAGCTTTAATTATCTTCTGTTGATGGAGGAAATAAGATAAAGTTTTGTTTCATAGTTATGTAAGAAAATTAGATTTCATACTATGCTCACTTTATATTACCAAATAGTTAACAATGTCTTGCAGGAAATTTGAATCCGTGATTCTTGTATTAGCTGTAGCTAGCAATTTAGAGTCCATTTTAAACTCAAAAGGATACTACTTAAGTGGTCCAGTTATTTGGGCTGGCCTTTATTCTGAATTCTCAACTGTTTGCCCTCATAATTCCTTTTTTCTCTCCTTCTCTTCCCAGATTGGTGAAAGACAACAAGTGTTAGTAACAGAAGAATCTTTTGATTCCAAGTTTTATGTTGCACACAATCGATTCTATGAGCAGGTAAGAGATAAGAGATACTTTCGTGTTCCTAAGTTTCCTCCCAAATGAAAGAGTTCTGAAAGTAAGTTAGTTTAAGTAAAAGTAACTTGAAAAGGGGGAGGGTTGTAGAATCTTGTTGCAGCAAAGCTATTTTATAACATCAAGCCAGCTGGGCTAACCCAGGGCTTATCTTTGTGGCTTAGTCTACAAAACATTCTCTGGGAAGGAATATGGGCGTTTTAGTACTCACTAGTCTCTGACAGGGCCAGCCTTCGGTTTGGGGAGCTCGGAACAGGCAGCTCCCCTGCCAGAATTCCCACAGCCTGGCGGAGTCGAGGGGAAGGTCCCATCCGGGGCAGGAAGGATGTCTGCTCTGGCGACATCAGTGTGGACGGGCAGGGCTTTCCTCCTACTGTCATGGTGCTCAGACAGGCTGATTGGTTGGTTGTTTTTTTTTTTAATTTCGTTTAGTTTTAGTATTTGGTTTTTGGTTCTTGGTTTTAACTCCCACCTTGATAAAAATGCTGGGAGCAAAGGGAGAAGAGTTTATTCCTTGGATTCAACTCAAATTTTGTGAACACCTCTGGAGAGCAATGTAAGGATCACAGCAACTTTACTCAGAATTTTCTTCGAGGCCAGCCAGAAGGGCTTCGCTCCCTGCCCACGTGAGCTCTCCTGCTTTGCCCCACTGGTAGCCAGGCTTTCCTTTCAGCACTTGGGACTCCACTTCCCCAGGTGGCAAAAACTCAAAAGTGAATCAAGAAAAAAGCATGCCCTCCTTCAGGGGCACTGAGATACTGAGATGGGTGGGGTGTGATGCCTTCTTAGGCGGGAGACTTGCATGGAGACACAGATTTCATGGGTCATTCCTGGATTTTTAACTTTTAAAATCAGATCAGTTTTCTTCCCTTTCTGTTCCTTTCTCATCAAATGAGAAGCAGATTTTTTTTTCTATGGGTCATAGCTGGAATTAGAGCTTGGGAAGGCTCTTAAGACCAGTCTGGGCAAGTCACGTAAGGGATGGCAAAGGGCAGGTGACCTGTGTATGTTCGAAAGCAGGGAAGCAGCACCTGAAGAGGCCTCCAGCACTGATGTTCCACAAGGAACCATCTCAGACTGGGCCTGGGTCTGCAGGAAAGGTGGGGGAAGCTTTTCAAGACCCAGACTAAACAAGCCCTGCTCAGTACCCAGCGGAGACTACAATTGAGGAAGGATTTCCAGCACTCCATGTTTGAGCTGAGCCTCTTCCCCATTTTCCATCTCATTAATTGACTCCAGAGAGCCGTTTTTCTATTCAGGCCAACTTTCTGCTCAGCCCTGGGGAGGAGCTTGATTGTATTTTTGTTGCCTCTTCCCTCTCCTTTCTCTTGCCATCTGGGTTTTTGCCTCAGCGGGGGAACTTTTTTCCCCTTCATTTTAAAGGCAATGGCATGCCTCATTAGCTGTTTCCTCCAATTTAAAGCAGTCGGGCTTTTTCCAATTATTAAAACCGGAGGGGGAAAAACACTGAGCCCTTCATTCAGATCAAGGCAGCAGATCAAGGCAAGTTATTTTCCCCCAGAATAGTACCACATCTCCCAGGGATAGTTTACTCTAGAGATTTTCTTGTTTTATAAAAACCGATTTAAAAGGGCTTTCATATTCTGATACTAAAGCTCTTTTAGTTCAGTTGCTTGCCATGAGTAATTCACCACCCAGGTGACCTTCTTCCTACACTTTGATGAAGCGGTGTACTCAGTGGTCATAAAAAATCAAACTCAGAAAGATCAGGATCTAATGTTGCCTCTCAGAGAAATTGGCTGTGGAACTTCTGGCTCTCGTCTGACTTTTTTGTCTCTACAACTAAGTATCAGACATTTCATAGGAATTATTTTTCTAATGAGATGAGTTCCAGAAGTAAAGATTGTATCAAGATATCAAAGTATCGCTGGATTAGAATTAGTCTATTTATTTTGGACCCTATCTTTAAAAGATTGGCAAGTACCTACAGTATTAAAATAGAAGTGTGAGGGAGACGTAATGCATACAGACTACCTGTAAGTCCCAAAGCAGGGGAAACGTTTCCTCAAGGTAAACAAGTACGTTTATCCGAAATCACTGGTGGAAAGAGACCATCTGACAGTTTCCTGTGAACCAGCCAAAGTATCCTTCAGTGTAGCTGATTCTACATGGAGGCAAACTAGCAAGTACCGTATTTTGCCATGTACAGTGCACACCCACGTTTCTGGCCCAGACTTTCAGGAAAAAAATTTCATTTTAATTTTTTAATTCCATTTATTTATTTATTTAGATACTTGTTTTTTGGGTTATAAAGGAATTTTAGCATTTATTTTTGAACATATTATGGTACAAGAAATGTTATGTAACAAATAATTTAAAGAATTAAAGACATTTATATAGATACAGAATTAGTACTACCCATGTATAATGCACACCCTTATTTTTCCCCTCAAAAATTTGGGCAAAAAAGTGCTCATTATACATGGCAAAATACGGTACCTGTGTTTTAGCGCAGATCAAAAGAACTGAATGGGCTCCACGAGTTAAAGAAGCCATTTACCCCCAAACCCCGTGTTTGGGTTATTGAAAAGGTTGCTTTTAAATGTTTTTTTCTCTTCCCCCCAAACACACGGTCATGCACACACACCCATACACATGCCGACATGCAGGCCTTTATTTGAAGTGTGTGCTCAAACCAGTACTCTGACAGCTAACTTGGAAGGTATCAAAAGTATGAGGCTTTCTTTCATCAGTGTTGTCTCCGTTTTCTTCATTGCATGGGATAGCTAAGAGCAGGATATCAAAGGCCTGTCCAGAAGCGACTGGCTGACTGCTGGGGATTTCCCAGGTCTGCCTTCCACATGCCGCAGGACAGCAGGCGGCCTGCAGTGAAAGAGTGCTGCCTGCCGCCTGCGCTCCCCCCAGAGCGCCTGCCCTTCCTGCTGGATCCCCAGGCCCTGGAGCAGCTGGGAGACAGAGCCCGCTTGGGGTGGGATTCCAGAGTAGGAAAAGGACATTAGTTGACAGCTGAGGAATTCTGAATAAAGTAAAGACTTTAGTTAATAGTAATATACCAGTGATGGCTCATTAATTGTGACACGTCTCTCATTCTAATGTAAAATGTTTTCATAGGGAAACTGAGTGCCAGGTATGCAGGAACTCTCTGTGTCTCTTTGCAGTAATTCTATAAATTTAAAACTGTTCTAAAATTATAAGTTTATTTTCAAAAAATTAAGCCTTCTGAAAAAAATGTTTTTAAAGGTTTTAGTGCCAAAGAACCCCACGTTCATGGGAAAAATGGTCGAAGTGGACATTTATGAATCAGGAAAGCATTTTATGAAAGGGCAGCCAGTATCAGACGCCAAAGTATACACACCATCCATCAGCAAACCGTTAGCAAAAGGAGAAGTCTCTGGTTTAACAGAGGTGAGTAAAAGATGCTTTTGCTCTCCCAGCCAGCAGAACAGCAGCTGTGGATGCACAGTGCTTCCAGACCATGTTTCTGTTATCATTTATAGTTCGCTTTTTATGTATGCATGAGGCTTTCATCTTTTCTGACACATAGAAATCTGAATGAGGAAGATGCATTTTTTGCTGATGCCTTTAGCTTTTTTTTCTCCCTCTGCCTGTAAAGCCAATAAGCTGTTTCTGCTTCTAGCTTAGAAGCAGAAGGCAAAGCCATTATTTTCAGGTGAGAGATTTAACACCAAAGACGATCTGATCCGGTATGTTTCTGTGTCAGTAGATCCTGAGTGGAAGGGGCTGAGGGAAGAAATATTTTCTTGCTTTACAAAGCTGTTTATAACATAGTAAAAACCTACCGTTAAACAGGTACTAAGCATGTCAGTGTATGTGCTTATGGTGCACTTCACTAGGGCAGTGATTTTCAACCTTTTTCATCTCATGGCACACATAAACTAATTACTAAAATTCTGTGGCACACCAAAAAAATATATTTTATGCCTATCTGACATAAAAATAAATATAATTTTGATTCATTCACACCAGATGTCTATTGTTGTATTGGCTGTTGTCATTCTTTTAATTTGACAGTCTAAGGGAAAGAGGTCAGTGCCCCTGACTAAATAGTCAGGCATTGCATGTTTTAACAATTCTCACAGCACAACAGTTGAAAATCGCTGCTCTAGGGTGTTAACTGAATATCTTCTTCAGGCATGTGGAGTGAAAATTAAACATTTTTTTTCTTTCTATAAAAAAGTAACCTGACCCCTGTTTTATACCTTGGTTTATATGGCTGTTTGCCAAGCTCTCTCTTACATTTCATTGAGCTACTGTTGTAAAAGCTGATGGAGTGTGAAATGAAAATGTGTATCACATTTCTAAGCATCATTTGATGTCCTTTCTCTAACACAATTGTTAAGCACTCCAAGAGGAGTACATAGCAATGACTTAACATACGGAGAAAAGATAGGGGGTATTTATCTGGCCATATAATCCCAAAATTGTTTTAATATATGCGTTATCTTTTCCCTCAAAATAAATTGCAAGGGTGTGTTAATTAAACGCTGGGAGTAGTGACAAAGAGGGCACTATTATCTGTATTCTTGCTTAGTATGGTGACACACTGGTGCCCAAACGCTAGTGACCCCTCTCATGAGCTTGACAAGTGCCTGTGAGGAATCTGTGTGCACAGCCGTCTGACTGATAACAGAAGCGCAGACTGGCCTACACCCTGCCAAGGGGGGCGTCCTGCCCGGCCAGGAGTGAGCTCTGGAACTTGATAAGCACGACCAGCAATGCTTGCTGTTATTTAAAGAAGAAACTGTACTTGGGGGTTGGAATGCATGGGCTAGAGGGAACGGTAGAATTCAGCATTTAAATTATATTGCTAGAAATGTGGCTTTTACTTCAGAAATTTTTAAAGGGACTTAATTTTGTTTTCCTATACAGTATGTTTTATGTTTGATTTTTAAATTGCCACAATAAAAGGCATCATCGCAGATGGGAGTAAGTGCTCAAACTAGTTTTTCAAAGACCTGATGTAATTCCTTCGTGTACACCTATTAAAAAGGATGGTGTTTTAAAACATCATCACTGATGATACATAAGTCAGAAAAAATAGTCCCCTTTTATTAGTTTCTTAACTCCAGTGTTACTGTCTGGAGGAGCAGCCCCATGTACATTGCATGGGGCAGCCTCTTCTCTTCTGCTCTTCCTCCCTCCGGCCGGTGAGATGGTGCTGTCACTGCTGCTACCACAGCCCTCCTCTGAGCTGGGAGGGCCCAGAAGTCCTAGGTGAGATGGGGTTAGGGATCGGGGGCTGCCGGCCCTCCTGGGCCTAAGAAACAGTCTTAGAGCGTGCGTGAGGCGAGAGTCAGGAGTATCGAGTCGGGTGTTTACAGCAAGGGAAACATCAGGCAAGTTATCACCATTTGTGACTTCATGTAAATTAATGAACATAGCTTTACGCCTCATTATTTGTCAGCTTTAGGGATATGCCAAACTCTGGGTGGAAAAGCCTTCTTTAATGAATTTGTCCTCATGTTCAAATGTTTTGGCTGATGATTATGAATGAAAATAAATTAAGCAAGAAGAGAACAGTTTCCATTTTTACAGGATTTAAAAGTAGATGGTAGAGGTTTTAATCATGTCTCAGACGTGTTGGGCTCTTTGAATATTGATCAAGGAGTTGGGACTCTTGGATGAAAACAGTCAGTGTAACTCCGTGGGTGAAGCCTGGCCTTGAGGTCAGATAGACCTGGGTTTGCATCTGGACTTTCCGGCTTATCCTAGGGACGTGACCCCTGAGCTTCAGCGTAGTCTGTTAAAGGGGAATGATATTGTCTACCTCATGGGGTGTTGAAAAGAATATTTTCAGTAGTGTATGTAACCTGTTTAATCTTGTTTCTGGAACATAGTCAACAATTACTAAGTGGCCGTTGCCCCTTTCCCTCCCATCTAGTTACATCTAGAAAGAGGAGACTCTGAAGATGACCTGATGTAAGCAGTTTCAGTTTTGCTCAGTATTTCACTGTGCTCCTGCTGTACAGAGACAGTGAAGGGGTGAATTGCTCTATTAGAATAGTCTATTTGGTGCTTGAGAACCAGCCCCATCAGAATTCATGTCTGTCTGAATTTTCTAGGTGTTCCTGGCTTTTCTGGAATGGTAACCTCCCCTGCACACTTTGTAAACAAATCTGGAAAAGCCAAAGCATCTAAAGCAAAATATTATACGTAAAAATTATTTTCCTTTGTATGTGTGTTTTCTTAATTGAGAATTTCATGATTATTCTTTAAGAATTTAGCCCCTGCTCCTGTGGACTTACCTGCCTCATGTTAGGCCCAGTTGGCGTCTTCTGACAAAACTGGGGAGCCGCACAGCCGGGTGGGAGCCGTGAGATCTGGGCCAGGGAACGCTGCACTTGTGGCGGCAGAGTTTGTGACGTTTTGTGCATCTCATAGGTCCCCTGAACCTCGCTTGGTTGTCTCTGGGATTCTGTGATTGAAATACGTCATTTGACAAAAATGGATTGAATGCCTACCCTGTGGCAGGACTTTGAATTCTGTAAATAGGAATAGAAAACAGGCCTTGTATTTTCAAATAATAAGGTGTATATGCCCATAACGTGGTGGGAAAAGAAATCTGTAGTAAGGTCAAAAGATTACTGTCCTCTAAGAAATTATAGTCTAGTGGAAACAACACATAGTAACATCTTTTTACGATTATTAGTCTTTCTCTTTTCAGTTTAGCTGGAGGAGTGGAGGAATAGAAGAGGGAGGAAATAGGAAAGAGAGACAAAATCAGTCGAATTCATATTAGGGGAGATGAGAGCCCAATGCCACTTTCAGCCTGAGAGGGAGCATCACCGAATGAGGATCATTCACTTCAGACAAAGGTTATACGAAGATAATCCAATGAAGGCAGCATGGAGTTCAAAGGGATAAACATAAATCAAAGAAAGGATAGATCATCAACTTTTCTCTGCAAGCTGTCAGGAGACTTTGTTCTCAGGAGGGAGAAGGGATGAGGAAGCAAGGAATACATAAGGTTTCATAGATGGTCTAGGATGATAATTCTCAAGTGTGGTGTCAGCAGTATCTGGGCACTTGTTAAAGATGTAAGTTCTTGGGCCTAAACCCAGACCTGAGTCAGGACTGCTGAGGGCGCCCGAGGAAAATCTGTTTCAGCCAGCCCCCTGGGTGACGCTGATGTGTGCCAGAGTCTGAGAGCCGCTCTTCGAGGAAAATGACTCTCAGGTGGGAAGGAGCGTGTGATAATTCATAAAAGCAATTTTAATATTTTAATGTATACCAACTTTTTATAGTGCTACTATAAAATAGTAGAGAAGAGAAATAGTTCAGAAAATAGAGTCAAACAGTATCTCCTTGGATGATGGAGATCGTCCCTCATCTGTATGTTAGTAATTCTTCCAAAGGCGACCATAAAAATGGTGGTGGGGATGGAAGCAAAAGTTGTGTGTGGGCGTGGGCGGGTGGGGGAGGGCAGCTGTTCAGGGAAGGTGCCAGAGGAACAGGAACCTTGAGAAAAACACAGTTTTAAGATGTTAAGAGCATTGATATTTTTATCCAGCTCTCTTGTGGAACCTAAATTTGTGATAAGATAGCCTGTTCAATATGTTCTTTTTTTTTAAATTAATTTTATGAAGTACAGTTTATATAGAGTGGAATGTGCAGATCTTAAGCTTGCATTTTGATAAGTGTACACACCCATGTAAAGAACACAACAGGGAAGGGGTAGAACATGCCCACTGCCTTGGCAAGGTCCCTCATAATCCCCTCCAGGCTCTCCCCTTTCCCTGCCCTGGACAAGCCCTGTCATGGTTCCTATCGCTAGCCCTTAGTTTCATTTACTCTTGCACTTTATATAAATGCAATCATGCAACATTTACTTCTTTGTGTATTTTTAAATTTTTATTTCAATTATTGTTCAAGTACAGTTTTCTGCCTTTTACCCCCCACCCAGCCCTCCCTCCTGTTTCTACCCCCGTTGTTATTGTCCATGTGTCCTTTATACTTGTTCCTGTAAACCCTTCCCATTCTCCCCTGAAATTCCCTCCCCTCTCCCCCAATATGATGATCTTTATATGTAACTAAAATTTCCTTAGAAAATTGCTGTGCTGTTCAGCCGTTTCATCTTAAGAAAACCTATGTGTAATCAGAACCTAATATCACCTGTACCAAATCCATGGCCATTTGATAATATGAAAAATTGTCTGAGAGCCATCATTAGAGATTGGAATCAATGAGTTGTTTTATCTCTGTTATGGAAAATTTCTATTGTTGAAATTTTTAAGCATATTCACAAGTAGAGAGAATAGTATGATCTCACATACCTATCACCCACTTTATTTTTTTTAATTTTTTTAAAGATTTTATTTATTTACTTTTAGAGAGAGGAGTAAGGAGAGAGAAAGAGAAGAATAGAAACATCGATGTGAGAAAGA